AATTATATTATTTTTTATTAATTAAAAATATTTTGGGTTTATCTTGAAAATGATATTTTTTTTTTGGACTCATTGTAATTGGAGGAGTCTCATGAGGGGCTTTTGTCAAATAACCCCTATATAAAACCCATTCCTATTTCTGTAATCTAAAATATCCTCATAATATAATTCTTACCAATTCCATCCATTATGCTCTAACTTCTTTAATATTATACATTGACCCCGGATTTAAAGAAATATATCACATTAACCCCCAAAATAATAATTTCTTGAAAAACGATTTTTTTTTCAGAAAATAATTTTTTTTCTGAATTTTTATTTCCGGCTAGATTCCAGCGTTGACCGCCAGAGATGCCGGTCTCTGGCGATGACTTTTTTTTTTTGAAAACTGTTTTGTCTGAATTTTTTTTTCCGGCCGGTCAACCGCCGTTGACCGCCGGTCTCCGGCTTTGACTTTTTATTTTGTTTTTTCTTAGAAAAATTATTTTAATTAATATTACTGTCTTGCCTGCTAAATTACTGTCTCAGACAGTAATATTACTGTTTGGGACAGTAATATTATGAATATTATATTTTCGAACTGTAATATTATTAACATTACTGTCGCAAACAGTAATAATACTGTCTGAGACAGTAATTTAGCAGTCAAGACAGTAATATTAATTAAAATATTTTTTTTAAGAAAAAACAAAATTTCAAAAAAAAAAAGTCAATTAACACTTAAATTACTGTCTCCGACAGTTAAATAACTGCCCGAGACAGTAATTTAGCAACGAAGACAGTAATATTAATTAAAATAGTTTTTTAAGGAAAAAAAAAGTTAATTAACAGTTAAATAACTGTCGGAGACAGTAATTTAGCAGCCAAGACAGTAATATTAATTTAAAAAAATTAAGGAAAAAAAAAGTCAATTAACAGTTAAATTACTGTCTCCAATAGCTAAATAACTGCTGGACACAGTAATTTAGCAGTCAAGACAGTAATATTAATTTTAAAAAAATTAAGAAAAAAAAATAATTAAAAAAAATAAAAAGTCAACGCTGGAGACCCGGCGGTCAACGACGGTTGACCTACCGAAACAAAAAAATTCAGAAAAAAAAAAATTTCAAAAAAAAAACAATATGCTGGAGACCCGCGACTGATCGGCGGTCTCCGATGTAGCGGTCAAAATTGGGGTCAATATTGAAATTAGGGTTAAAATTGGTAAATTGGTGAAATTGGGCTAAATTGGAGGTGTAAATCATGAAATTGGAGTTGAATTGGGTTTCAATGAATTGAGAGTAATTTTAGTTTATATAAAAGGATTTTCCTTATTTGCAAATAAGTTTGAATGAGTTGGATTTATTTAAAACACAAAAAAGTTGGATGTCCCTCTTTTAATTAAGTGCCATTGTCATGTGCATTTTTGAGATTAACCGTTTTTCTTAAAAGGGGACAAAGAGTTGCTTAATGAACAAAAAGATCCAAAGTGGCATTTAACTAAACTAGATTGATGGAATTCAGCGTGTCCCCATATATTTCCTGACTGCTGCTATATAAATACCAGCTAGTATCACGTCGGCGGGTC